TAATTTTTCTATGTATATTATTAATTCTTAAAACATATTTTGGTGAGGTTTTGTGAGAATCGTTTCCAAGGATAACGAGATATGTGAGGATAAAACCGGGCTCTTTTTGCTAGAATTATCAACTTTATGATTTATAAGGGAAAGTGAATAAAAGATAATCCAAAATGCTGTCAGTTAAAGAAGGATAATCATGAAGCCGTAAGGATAGTGTTAAATCACCACTGTTTTCGTGAGTTTTTTTTTTTTTTATCTTCTATAAGCTCAAGATTGCTACCAAAGTTTGTTTCTTACTGGGAGATGACTTTTATGTGTTATATCCTTTATCAGGCTGCTGGCTGTGATCAGGTCCTGGGATCAAATGTAAGAATCGACAGGTGTAGTGTGTGTGGTGGCAATGGGAATACGTGTAAACATGTTGTAGACAAGTACATGAAACAGTGGAACCAAACTGGTAAGGAATATTTTGATATGTAATTGACCTTATCCACGCAATCTTTCCGCCTTTCTCATCGCACCCAAGGATAAAGAATAAATTAACTCACTAATTCTTTCTTAGGAAAGGAGAATGCAGATACCATTTATGATCTTCCACCCGGGACAATGTCTGCAAGTTTTATTGAAGTCGCTGCGACGTACAACAAAATAGGTAAATACTAAATTTCTGAAAACAAGGGTACTACCAATCACATAAGTGATCTACATTTTCAACTCGTCCGAAATATTCAGTCTTCAAAATTGCTCTCGTAATGTTTGTAGGAGTACATTTTGTCCTCTGATACAATAACATAGATAGTTTAAGTTCCTTAGAACACCTTCATTTCATTTAGAGCAAATGATACTAATTTTCATTTGCAATACAAATTGATGCAAACGTTCTTCTGCAGGTGTCATGTCGAAGGATGGCGACTATCTAATAGACCCAGATAAGGATAAAAATGTTCAAATTACTTATGCTGGAGCTTCTATCTACTATGTAAACAAAAATAAACGTTATGCAGATCAACTGAAGATAATAGGACCAACTCAAGCAAAACTGAGGATAATGGTGAGGATAAAAAATTACTAGAGACGTGTCCACTCTATAAAGAGTACGAAGAGAGATTAATGATAAAACAGCACGTTTGTATGGAGGAACAGAGGCAAAAAGTTTCTTGTAAACATCACCTTACTCTGAGTGTGCAACAAAGCACCCAGAGATAATTTGTTCAGCTTTATCAGGGTGAAAAATCCTTGGGGCGTATAGGAATCATTTGATCACCTTAATTCATGTAGGTTACTTGATCAGTACCGCATTTCTACTTTCCTGTGTTTCTCTAACACAGTTTATAGCAGAGTATGGAGAGAATCTTGGCGTTGCTTATGATATCTGGTATCACCTTAACTCCTGGAGTAAGCTGAAGCTCGACTACAAATGGATTGTGGGTGATTGGTCTGAGTGTTCTGCTACATGCGCTAGAGGCAAGTTGAGGAGAATGCATTACAGGTTTCCCGGCACGAAAAATTTAGCCTTATCACCAAAGAATTCATTGTGACTCGGTCGAGAGAGCATTTCAGTGCGGAATACAATGGTCTGAGGTTCTCCTCCTTGTGGAAAACCCTTAACTTTTCTTTTGTTCCCCGCTCTTGGTAAAAACGAATATCATCTTTCTTAGTCTCAAGTCTTTTATTAACATAATTTTAAATCCTCGTCTATTCCTTGTCTACCCTACTTCATTTCTGGTTTATTCCTTCCTTTTAAAATGTTGGTGCTCTTCCACTCCAGCAAATGATCATTTCAAGGTTTTTTTCTGTAATTAGGAATGATAAGTTTTCTATGAAACTACACGTGAGAAAACCAAAGAAAATTTCATCTTGATCATTAACATTGAATAGATAAATAAAATAATAATAAAATAGATACCAGGATCACATTTCGGCGTTCTTGAATCAATTTACGCAAATACTGTACTCATCTAACATCTTGATAAATTCATCCAACAGTGAAATGAACGTTCAATGGTATTTCATTTCTCTTAAGGTGTTCAAACTCGAGAAGTTCGTTGCGTTCTAGAAGAGGATGGAACACCTGCTAGTGACGAAGCTTGTGATAAACTTCTACGACCAGATGATAATAATGAATGCAATCAGCAACCCTGCCCTCCAGAGTAAATATCTTCTCAAGCTGATTTTTTTTTCTCTTTTCTTTCTTGCCTGATCACCTTCATCAATAATTCCAAGTATTAATATTCAATAAATATAATGACATTCATACCTCCACCGCCACCCAATATGTTTTTTTTACAGATTACGGGGCTTACTTGGTGTAGAAGACAAAAAAAAGAGAAAAAAAACGACGAAAACAATAAAACAATGGAGTAACGAGGCGGTGTTCTGTTGTGACGTGTCCTGTGTCTTCTATACCCAGAAGGAGCCCAGATTACTCTACAAAAATAAAGAAGAAGCTAAAAATTGGCCAACTACTAAAACATGGCTTCGTAACTAAGGTTTTGGTAAGGCGCGACTAGTGTCTGGAAGGCACTGACTCGAATCCCGTCGAAGCCTAAACTTTTTCATGCTTTTTTCTGCCTCTTTTTGTCGTAGCTCACCTGTGAGGATCATTTCTCTATTTATCAATTTCCATTGAGACGCACTGGATTACCCAAAACGTTGCCACTCTAAACAGCCTTCAAGACAACGTTTTTTCATTATGTAGAAAGTTTGAATCATTCTCATGCCATTTCTCCCAGGTGGATCGTTACAGATTGGTCACCTTGTTCGAAAACCTGTGGTACTGGTGTTCAGACTCGAGAAATGAAATGTCACGAGAAAACGAGCAGTCACCACTATTCTGAAATATCTACCTCTAAGTGTGACCCAAGTAAGCTCCCAGATGTCAGTCAGCTGAGTAGACAGTGCAACCAGATCATTTGCAAGCCAGATTGGAAAATTGAATCAACGTGGACGGCAGTAAGTGATTACTTAAACGATCTATTTTTATGAAGATATTTCGAAGAGCAAAAGAGTTGCACCAGTGGCTTGCGGGCTGACTCTGGATGGGAAGGCCTGGGTTCCTTGCTGGCCCTGATCGGGTCATTATGTTGGGATTGTGGGCTCACTCTTACAAGCCTTTCTCCAGCCACTACAACCCTTCAGGAGGAGTTGACTAGCTGGTAATTGCTTCCACCATAATCTGGCAACTGGGTTTAGCTCCGCTGTTGAAGTTTGACTGGCTGGTGAAATTTCTGATTAAGAACATTTTGTTTTTTTAGTGCTCTACTCCGTGTGGTGCAGGCATTCGACAGCGTACAGTTAACTGTATCCTTATTGATCAAGATGGAAGACCCTCTCAAGTATCAGAAGAACAGTGTTCTTTTCTGAAAAAGCCCAAGGACAAAGAGGATTGTGATAGCAAGCGACCCTGTTTAGAAGGTTGTGAGTTTAATGACATAACAACTGATCACTTGCTGCTAGCTGTGCTCCCTGTTTGTCAGTTTCCCGCGTTTAGGTCTCATAAGCTCAGTAAATTGGAACTGTCTGAGTACCATGGCGATCATTTAGATGTTTTTTATTGTAGATATTTGTATTTCACGGGTGCTCGTTGCAAAAAAAACGAGGTTGAAGCGGCTTGAAGCAAACAAAGGTGAAACCTACTGATGAGAAATTTTGGTCAAAACACCTAATCTTTCTATCAGATCTTTGTAAACTTTTTGAAATCGCCTTTTTCATAATTAAAGTTAAATACATTCAAGAGGAGTATGATTATGCGATTGAGGTTGTAGCCCGTGACCTTCACAATAGAAAAACTCCTTGAGAACTTGCAAAGAAATTCCGAAACCTAGCGCTTTAGATTCCTTAACTTATCTAAGTTTGATATTTTTTTCATCAGATGGTAACTATCAGTGCTACCCAACTAATCCATGTCAAAATGACGCCGTTTGCATCGAAAAGCCGCCAGGCGAATACCACTGTGACTGTCTGGAAGGATTCAAGGGAAAAAACTGTGACGGTATGTAGTATTGTCAACAGAAAAGTGTGCTGCGCTAACACCATTACTGGAAATGCCTGAAAGAGCTCAGTCCCCAGGAAAAAAATTAGAATTTCGAGTGTTGTTGAGCAGGAGTAGAAACTGGAAGACTCGTGGAAAACCTCTCAACATAAGAAGAACAATAACTACAAAGCGGTGTTACAATTTTTTCGCATTCCTTTGCCCTGTGATTCGTCCAGAAAACCCCAACCATCTTCTCGAACAATCAGATGCAAAACTTAAAAGCAACACGCATCCCTTTTTGCGGCAGCCCTCAATACGAGTGATTGCTTAAAGTTCTCATTGGTTCCCAGCGACATTTGTTTTACAATTTGATCTTTTTCGCATAGCACAAAAAAATGACCAGAGTGCTAACGAAGCATGAATCTAGACACGCTGATGATCATGACCTGCGGTAAAAACAAAGCTTTCATTTACCTATAGAGATGGAGACTCCTTGTCAAAAGCAACCATGTCAAAACGGAGCCACTTGTGTGCGTAATGCTAAATCCTCGAAGTGGGAACGCAAATATACTTGTATTTGCCCAGAATGGTACAAGGGAAAGAATTGTGAGCGTAAGTACCATGCAACGATATATCAATGAGGACAAATGAACACAACAGATTTTTGTTCAAGAGTAGACTGGTTAGTGCTGATTTATTGGCTATTGCAGTGGTCACAAATAAAAAAAATTGTTTGGTTTATGCTCGCCACAACTATTTTTGTAAAGCTATCTTAAGTATCAAAATAGCTTTACTTTACAGGGAAGTTTTTTATTAATGTTTAGTAAGTTGAGTAAACGTCTTATTGAACTTTGAAATGACGAGACTACTTGGAAATGACCCAAAACTATAAGAATAGACGTAAGGAGAAGGATATGACGTCTCTACAGGAAAGATGACAACTTAAAACGACCTGAGAAAAGATGATGTTGCGCGACTTGAAACGAAAAATCGAGTTAGGCCTCTCGGAAAGTGAAATGGACAATTTTGGTAGCAGAAAGGCTCTAAAAATTTTACATTCATGACAGCCTCATGGAAAAAAGTGAATAACTTATCTTGATAAATGTGTCCATGTGAAGGTTTATGATAGTTTCATCAATAATGGTTTCTTCCTTTCAGAAAAAATCTTTCCATGTAATAGCCATCCATGCCGCAGCCATGCTACTTGCATAGACGGTCTTAGTGATCCCTCAAACTTCACATGTAAATGTCCACCGTGGTTCACTGGGAAGTTTTGTGAAGGTGAGTTCAGTGACATTCCCATGGGCAGGTTTACCTTGACAGTTTACTTGACTAACATTTCCTTAATATGTCTCTTTGGGGGAAATTTCGAAAGGGAGATTAAGAAAAAATTGGGACCCAATTTTCTGGTGTAGATATGATTTCGCAATCATGCAACCTATATATTATATATTCACCTTGATATGTCAGATTAAAGATTTGCTATTCAAGAAATTTTCTCGCTTTTGGGCAACTAACAGTTACCATTCCTTTTAATCCACAGTAACTACCAACAAATGCGATGAGGAACCGTGCAACAACAGAGGATATTGTCTGAGTAAGAAAACAGACCCAGCCTGGTACCAATGCTTCTGCGAAGACTGGTTTGAAGGAACACACTGTGAAAGTAAGTTTCGTAATGGATCTTGAGACAATTGCATGCCATAGGTAAGAAACAAATAGGTACTCTGCCAACCAAAAACAATTTTCTATCAACAACTTGTCAAGTGGTGTAGCGCCGTTGACTGTTGTTGTCAGACAAAGAAGAAAAATTGTCGAATTAGTCCCTGAAATCACAAAAGTTGAAATAAAATTGAACAAGCGCAGTTTTAGACGGAAAAAATATTTTCCTCCAATAGAAACAAGGTATCCATGGTTGAGGTCTATGAACCAATAGACCACGATGCAAGAACCAATTAAATACTCTTATTTTTCTCAAATCATGATCCGAGTGACCAGTCGATTCAAAAGAAAATACATTACAATACAATGATACAATACAATAAGAGTTTATTGTGAAAATACACTTAGCTACAATAATGGTGTGCTTTCACAGACGGAACCGAAATCGGGGTCTGTGAAAGCACGCCAGCTAATTTACATTTATTCCACAAACACAATAAAGTTAAGAGTTGAAAAAAAAACAAAAAAAAACTAGATATGGAATATTCTATAATTTAAAATTATAGCAATAAAATCTTAATAAGTATATCTTATATCTAAATAAATACTAAATTCAACCGTGATGCTTTCTATAAGCGAACACGAACTTGTGGAGAATATTTCTGAACCGGGGACTGACTCTTGAATGAACGAGCGTTTCAAAGACTTTTGACAAAGATGGAAGAATGGTGAGAGGTCTGTAATTATCCTTGGACAGGCTGCAGTCTTTCTTATACACTGGAGTTATTTCGCCCTTTTTCCACTGTTTAGGGATTTTTCCAACGTCCAGAATATAATTAAAGAGAAAAAAAATGATTAGGTATAACCGATTAGGTATACTGTAGGTATATATTGTATACTGCTTACAGGTATACTGTAAACGACTATTGATTATACTTTCACTCGTTTCCTTTTTTAGAGCAAATATATCCTTGCGACTTAAAGCCGTGCAAAAATGGAGCTACCTGCACCAATGACCCGGATGACATCTCATTACATCATTGTCAATGCCCAACCTGGTTTACTGGCCAAAATTGTGAAGGTTTGAGGATATTTTTTATTCGTCAAGCATTTTAATTGAGTAATGTCCTCATTAACCACCTTGCGTGCTATGCGCTCTCCTTATTTTTACGTTCGCCACACAAGGCGCTCGCATGTCCTAGCAGTGATAAAAGGAACGCGTGTCACATGTAAAGTTAGTATATAGCTATGCTGGCCATCCAGTTCTCTTTACGTAGGTGATAGAACCCAAGGGAAAAATATATATAAGATTCAGTCTACAATATCCTTAGGTGCCAATCAAAAGAAGGTATGAACCAGGAGATAACGTTATTCCATGGTAATTACATGGGGGAATTTCCTTTCCTGTCTTGGGAGTGAAATGGTTACACATTTACCGAGGAAAGTTAAGCTTTAAGTTGATAAAAGCTTGAAGTGAGTTAAAAAGGTTGTAATGCTGTCGTTTAGAGCCTCAGCGCCAAATTATCTTGTTATACTCCCCACCAACGAAGAATCCCAGTTTCTTAAGCAACTTACCCCTTTAATTATATATGTCAAACCCGGGAATGTGGTCACCATCTAATTCCAAGCCATAGCTAGACTCATTAGTCATTATCGCTCAGATTTTGCCCTCAGGGCATCTATCCGCATATGGGTTGAACCTAAGGAGTACTTAGTTCCCCTGATGTCATATGCTTGATTCAACAGTGCAACTGACCTCCTGTGACAGTGACCCGTGTCAAAATGGTGGATACTGTAATAGTGATTCGAAGACACCTGATGTATATGAATGTCAGTGTGGGGATTGGTTCAAGGGTACCAACTGCGAAGGTAAGTGGGAAGGCTTGTTTAAACTGTCTTAGTTTCATTTAGTCTGTCTCCCTCCTCCAAGGGATTGACCCCAAGAAAGAATATGACATCAAACTGTAAAGAGAAAGATTGTAACTGAATGTAGTTCTGGTGTATTGTAGTCAGATGTACTTTAAAAAGCTAGCAACATCAAGGAAACAAAAAAAAAAGTAACTTCATCAATCCTCTATTCCTTCGTAGCTGACGCATGATTAGAGCGTTGATAGTTACCGAGAGATTTTGAAATGAATAAACGTTAACTGAGAGATCAAGGCACTTTGCAAATTTTTACCGGCCAGAATTAATGTATATCAACAAATATAATTTGGCTTTATCAACTTGGTTGGCAAGGCAAATTTGCTACTTTCTTAAGCTGACGGCTCGAGCATTCGCAATTCGCTCTGCCGTAAGGCTAACGCTCGAAACGTTAGCCTCCGAAACTCTTTGCGGTCATTATCAAGTCAGTTGATGAAACCAAGTTATTTTGTGATACACCCTACCCACAGCACCACAATTTATTAACAAACTTACTTCCTTTATACTAACAGAAACCTCAGCATAACTATAACAGCACATTTTCCTTTCAGTTCAAATATTTCCATGTGACTCCAAGCCCTGCCTAAATGGAGCAGCCTGTAGGAATGATGAGACAGACATATCCGAATACCACTGTGACTGCCTGTCTGGTTTCTTTGGGAAAAAATGTCAAGGTAATAAAAATGTCCACGTCTTAGCATACGTAACACGCTGAGCGGTTTTTTGCGTATTTAAGCCGTTCCATCCATTTTAGAGATTTGGAAGGGTGAGCAGTTAGTTCTCGCGAAGTTATAATCTCAACTCTTAGACGTTTTGTGAAAAAAAGGTTGTAAAGTTGGCATTCGTCACTAAAATTATGTTTGCTTGTACGATTCTGTTAATTGATAGTCCTGTAACCTCAATCGTCGGCGTCATTCTCGGTTAGGGAAAAATAAACATGCGAGAAAGCTCTCATCAGCCTCGAAGAACGCGCGTTTCTCCGCCCGCCGTAACATTCGAGACTAATCAGAGAGAGGCTTGCAGGGGTGCCGACACAAGTTATCATTGCCTGACCTCTTGAGATTCTCAGCGGCTCGAGTTGCAGGTTCATGTCTTCCTGGGCGAAGAAACCCTCTTGCCGAAGCGGTAGTAATTAGTGAGGACCTGCTTAAAGGCTAGGGAAAAAGTGTACACATATTTCACAACCCTTTCTAGCGTCGTCGGAGAAAACAAAAAACCTGACACCCCGGGTGGAAGAAAATTATGTCATGGGTTACAGAGTAGAGATTGTTTGAGTCAGAGCTGGTTTTAGAATGATCATCATACCTTTCATTTTAGTATAGGAAAATAATGAAGATAAAAATAAATGAAAAAAAATTGATATTAAAAATAGAGTTATGATCATGTGGCTTCATAACTATATTAAATCGTTATACGAGTAAAAATTTCTAAAAGTATTAAAAAAATGATTTTAGAATCCCAACGCTTCGGCTAAGAAACTCCAGCCCTCATCAGGGGAAAGTGAAAAAGAGGAATTTAAAAAGCACAAAATATAGAGAGAAATGTAAAATTTGAACAGTTGTTATTAATTAAGTCTTTTCCTCTGGTGCCAAAGTCATATACTCGTGTGGCAAATCTAAGCCATCCTCTCGATTGAGCGGATTCCTGCAAATCTTTATCTCACATGCTTCTAGAGGGCTTCGGGACCGCTAATCTACATATACGCGTAAGATCTTAGAAGATTTCCAGGCGACAGAGTGGCAGAATGTAAACAATCTTATTAGGAGCACTCGTAGTTCTTTTCTTCGAGTATGTCTGTGTCATTCGCTGAATACAACATCTTTGGTTTACATCACCAGGCTTAATATTTACCACCTTCATTTGCATTATTGCGCAAATGCATCACATTCAACATTCCTATCCCAGCAGTATACAAGAGGTTTGTCACTCTGGACCTCGTTAAACGGCCTAGTCTGCCACTCTCCTATAGCTCAGTGAAGGAGCATCCGAAGTGCTAATCGGAAGGTCTTCGGTACGAGCACTCGGAATTCTTTTTCTGCGAGTCTGCCTGTTTCAGTCGCAGAATAAATCATTCAATGTAAACACTGTTTCGCTAAGCTATCGTGATGTTTTTATAACTTTTTACCAGTGTGACGATTTTATATAGTAGAGATTGGTATCTTCTTGTCGTTTAATTTATCGATCTATGTTTTCCTTTATTTTTAAATTCATTTATTCGCTCGTGCATTTAATTATTTTCGTAGCTTCTCCTTTCTCTGAGATTGGTTGTTTCAAGACGCCGAAAACTGGTCTAAAAAGCGTACTGGCAAATCACAACCAAGACTTCGATCCAGAAAAAATTAAATCGTATATTTATGAGTGTGGCGAACTTGCATTTGACAAAGGTTACAGTCACTTTGCCCTCGGAGATCGTGCAATTTGTTTGTCGAGTGGAACTGCTCAGAACGAATACTTCCAGAAAGGGGGTACCAAAGCCAGTGACTGTAAGGATGACATTGGAAGCAAATCTTCAGTCCATGTATATACTTTTGGTGAGTAAAATTCGAAGAGATTCGAAGATTCTAACTTTAATAGACATTCGATACAACTCAAACAATTTGAGTCGGTTTATTTGACTAAAACCTGCTTTTTGAAAAAAGCTGAAATCTTTCCCAAATTTTTGGAGGTACTGACAAACTGGAAGGGCTAGAATGGACTAAAATTATGTACAGAGGTTAAGAATAGAGAAGACTACGACGGAATCGAAATAATGGACGCTCAAACCTATCGCGGTGGATGTGTTCTGCGGTAATCATTGGAAGTAAAAGTGATATTCGTTAGCCATCCCGTGTCGCTTCACAACGAAAGGATTTGCACATGTTCGACAAATTTTTAACGTCTACTCTGAAAAAGGAATATGATTCCAATGAACAATTGTATCGATTTCATTCTCAGAACCTTTACCGAAATCTGTCCCTGAGGGATGCTTCATAGAAAAAGGGAAATCAGAGAAGTTACTGACTGACAATTACGCCAGCTTCTCAAGTAACTCTGACCCCAAAGCCACTATTTTGTACTGTTCTACTCTGGCTCGAGACATGGGCTACGAGTACTTCGCTGTACAAAACGAGGTACAATGCTGGACCAGTAAAGACATCGCTAATACATACAGCAAGTACGGAAAGTCCGACAATTGTGCAGGTGGAGTTGGCAAAGAGATGGCAAACTTTGTGTATCGTATTCAACCCTCGTATTCATATCCAACTGGTTGTGATGATGATCCTTGTCAAAACGATGGGTTTTGTGTGGTGGACAACAATGATCCTATGCAGTACTCATGTGAATGTAAGGAAATGTTCAGTGGAAAGAACTGCGAAGGTTGGTGTGATTTAAACGAGATATGGTTGATCTACTATCAGTTATTAACTATGTTTATGTACAAACTTCTATTGGAAAGTTTTCATCTTTACTAATTTTAAATTATTTCCTAGTGCGGTCTTATGCATGTGATAGCCAACCTTGTAAGAACGGGGCAGCTTGCCGCAACGACGAAAAAGATATCACAAAATACCACTGCGATTGTACGGACGACTTTAGTGGAGTCAATTGTCAAGGTAATAGGACAAGTGATTCGAATAACTTGCAATTAATTACAGAGGTATTCCATGAGGCTTTCTGAACGTAAATGAATAATTTTGGACGTATCATCGAAAAAAAACCTCATCAGGGATGCTCAATAAAGTGTTTGCATGTTAGTATCTATGTAAGTAGATATGACGTCCACATTGTTGTGTGAGATGGACTGCAATTATAGATCTTGAAAGAGAGAAAAGTCAGTTCCCGCTGTCTTTATTCTTTTTGCTTCAACATTAATTTGCACATACGTATTCCGATATTGATAGATTGTTGGTTTTTGTAATTCTTAGTTCCTTCTTTTGCTGAAATTGGCTGTTTCAAAGCACCAAAGTCCGGTCTTAAGGAGGTACTTACATCTCCGAAGGGATTTGATTCAAAGAAAGTAAAAACTTACATATATGAATGCGCCGAACTGGCATTCGACAAAGGTTACAGCCATTTTGCACTGGGCAATCAAGGAAACTGCCTTTCGAGTAAAACCGCCGATAAAGAATACTTTGAAAAAGGAGGAACCAGTCCTAGTAGCTGTAAGGATGGCATAGGGAGTAAAATGGCAGTCGACGTGTATACCTTTGGTGAGTAGGACGCAAACACAAACTACAGCCACAGTGCAAGAATGATAACGACTGTGGAGGCTCTTCCCACCCTTTCTACGTCCTCAACAATCAGTCCATTGATGACTGGTACACAAAATATCACCTTTGAAAACGTAAATAAAATATGAAGGAGTTTTGAAAGACAAAATCTTGTAATTTCAATCTTTTTTATTCAAATAAAAATTCTATTTTTTTTTTCAAAGAACCTCTTTAGTATTTCGAGAGACCGAAATACTTGTGCAAAATTTTATTTGCAAACTGAGGTTACGTTGCTAAGAAGACTACTCTACCTTCAAATATGTCCCTTTCGATGACACAAACGTGATTCTAATCGTCAAAACTATTTTCTCTTTAACCAGATCAGGCCCCTAAATCTGTTCCACAAGGCTGTTTTGTGGAAAAAGAGAAGACAGAGAAGTTGCTTACTGATAATTTTGCCAGCCTCCCTAGTAACTCGGATCCAAAGGCCACTGTTGTTTACTGCTCTACTCTAGCTCGAGACATGGGTTATCAGTATTTCGCTGTGCTGGATCAAGTCCAATGTTGGACTAGTAAAGACATCGCTAACATATATAACAAGTACGGAAGGTCCGACAATTGTGCAGGTGGAGTTGGCAAAGAGATGGCAAACTTTGTGTATCGTATTCAAGCCTCGTATTCATATCCAACTGGTTGTGATGATGATCCTTGTCAGAACACTGGGTTTTGTGTGGTGGACGAGGATGATCCTAAACAGTACTCGTGTGAATGTCAGCAAATGTTCAGTGGGAAGAATTGTGAAGGTTACTCTC